GAGTTTTATCCTGATGAAGAGTTATCATATTTTGGAGCACTAATCACGTTTTGTTGAAAGTTGCACTATAACGATTATGAGATAACGAATACGTTCACTTACTTTTGGGTGCATTCTCAGCATATGCCTTCACAAGAGACGCATTTTCAGCAGCGTTCCAACCCGCCAAGAACTCACGTGCCATTTCGGCCATTTCTCTTTTTTGTTCATCGCTTAAAAGCTTCTTTGAATCGCGACCACCTAAAAATGCATTCAGCATCTTGATCATCTTGGTCACGATTTTTCTACGATTTCCCATTACCTCTCAAAAACACGGGAAAACAGTAAACTGATATTATATACCGACGAATAGAAGGTGAAAAATACGAATGCGGAGTGATTTTTCATCACAGTTTTGAATACGGTGACTCCTGGAAACGCAACCTGCTATTGGCATTAGAATGATGACGAAATGTTCCCCATAAAAATGAAATGAAACGTTCCCAGTAAATGCAAGACCGATCAGAAAATTCAGATGGATTGTCATCTAATGAGAAATTGAGCCTAAGTCTAAGGACAATACGTGCATAAATGTGGCTTACGCTTGCGCATTTTGCTAACGAAGAGCATCTCAGATTTGAGTGGTGTGATTAAAGCCGACGGATAATTGCTGTCATCTGAAAATATCAAATTGAAAATATCGAAATAAATTCAATNGACAAGACAAATGAGCAAATATACACACTGATCAATTATTTGTCTGAGAATATGTTCAGAATTGTAACGAGATTTTTTGAATTTGACTGAATAAATGAACGCACCTGGTGGAGGGCATGCGCTAACTTCATTGCTAAAAGTGACATGACGTTTATTGGCCGGTGTTGTTGGTTTAGTTGACGATTTGTTAGTGTCATCATTCTCGCATTCATTCGTTACGTTTCTTGATTCCGCATCAGGGAAACTGAATTGAAATTGGTTACTTGCATGAAACTGAATCAATTCAGGTGCATGACTGCAAATGATCAGACGTTGCCAAAACCTTGTGGATTCTGCCGCAGCAGCAGCAGATCCCCAAACGGTGTGATGATCGTCAGCGCGAGCTGTCTGATCGACATCTGCGAACGTCATCACTTGTGAACCGATTGTGGCTGTCACCGATAGGGTCACTTCAGAAACGGACTCTTTCGGACTATTCTCAGAATCGTTTCGCGCATTCGAATCATCACTCTCGTTCACTGACGTTGTCATCGAATTCGTTTGTGATGATGTGATCAACTCGTCCGCGTTGAATACTCCTCAAATTTTGCTTGTTTATTTTTGACATAAGATCAGTTCAAAATTCTTAGTGAAATCAGAATATTTCAAAATGATTTTCTTATTCATGTATTCCACATTTCTTAAAACTCTACTGTGACATCAAATGATATTCAGTCACAAATTCATTCGAAGAAAGTGTCGTGACTTAACTCAGCTCATAATAGTGAATTTATTTGGCATTCTACAAATGCACTCAGCAAGCCTTGATGGTTTCCGAAAACTACATGCTGAAGTTTGCGTTACAGCACATCTGATTACTAATCGTAAGCAATAATATGCAGGTATGTACACATAATATAATCCTGATTACTAATCGTAAGCAATAATATGCAGGTATGTACACATAATATAATCTTTCATTTTCGTAGATAAAATTTCTCAATTGAAAAAGTGTTATATTGTGTGTAGATATCAAAAAATATAACATATCAAAAAAAGTAATGAAGAGTAATTACCAATTTCAAGTGGTTTCGGTTGCTCACTATCGACGATTCTGCATGCGTCGTTACGTTTCTTGAGAAGACTCTTACCCGGTTTCGGCATCGGTTTCACGTACCCGATACGTGCTAGCATTGCTTCTGCAGCAGCACGTTTCGCGAGCTTCTTATTTGGACCTGTACCCTCACATCGCAATTCTTCACCACATGTCACCTGAAGTGACACCAGGTAAATGAAAGGATTACATTCAGTTTTGTTCTCCATTCAGTCTTATGGTTGCGATTAACACTTCCAACAATGTTTCCTTTATTGATGACCAAACAATAACATTCGATAATAAACATCATCTACTTATTTCATGAAAGAAATTTCAATATTTCCCTGATTTTTCAGCTGAGATTGGTGTGTTGTGAGGAACGGGGAATTTCGGGAAGCTCCGTCTCAGTTTCCTTGCCCCCGACATTTCTCAGGGCGGCCGCATTTTCGAGATACCCGACTGCAAATTTCGCCCTCGATTTTTCCTTTCCTCGACTTTTTTGTCTTCCCCGCAACACACTAATCGAGATCATCTATTATTAATTGACGACTATTTCCAGGTGTTGTTATTATCGGAAGCAAGACTACGAAATAATTTTAACGCAAATTAAACACATCCAAAACTATTCATGAAAAAACAATTCTTGATAAGACAAACCTCGACAACGAATTCTTTATATCTACTTTGGCCATGTTCAGCGATTAACTGAAACTTTGGTTCGGTGTCTTTTCGGGCTTGCATCACCTGCATTAAACGACTAACTGGGTTAATCTGATGGCCGTAGTCTGGATCCATTTTCATATCCTTCAACGATGAATATGTTTACTTGAAAAGTAGTTGATCAGCTAAAGTGAATATAAGCCGGTATGACAATCTTCTTTCCAATTATCACTCAATTACAGTCTATCCTTTCATACCCGAACGCTCAAATGATCAGGTGCTTTATTAGAGAATGATTCATTCCATTGTGACATCTTCAATTGATCCACATTCCTATTTGCTTCATCTCTATTTCGATGAGCATGAAAACGTGTGTCGTCATCAGAATGAACTTGTTATGATTGATTCGTTTACAACTACCTTAACTTCCATGCGACAACCTGCTACAAAAAATGTGCGACAACATTAAAGCAAATGAAGATTGAAGGTTATTCTTCCTTTCTTGAGGGGCACTTTGAGTGGTGCTTCGAGGAATCCGTTTGTAGATTGCACTTGAACTCATATGTTGTTCAGCAGCCTGGGCAATGTGCTGCTCACTGCACAGATTCACAAACTCAACTCAACAAGTAACTTTCATTATCCGAACGGACCTAAGAACCAAACCGTTCAGATATGAGATGACTGACGACTGTATTACACTCTTCATATTTATGATGAAATTCTCTATATCCGTTTAGTGCATAAATAAATCTTCGACAATCGTAAAATAACAGTAAAAATTGAACAAACTTTTATGATAGTTTTCCTTTTAGCTTCTTTTGAGGCAGTTGTTTTCTTTTGCGATTTGAAAATTGAAGATGCAATGAAGATTGGTGACGTTTCTGAAGTGTTACGGAATTATGATTGTGACGGTAATGTGTTGTTTGACAGTTGCAATTAATGAAGTCGTAACGCTCTTTCAAGCAACTTTTGAAGAAACGTTGGAGCGAACAGGATAATGAATAGTAGAAAAATATGATCTTTTCAAGTTTGCATGAAGAAGTGTCGTTAATCAACAGAACAATTATGAAC